CCCCGCCGCTGCCCCACCACCCCTCCCTGCCTTTCCGCAGCCTCACCTGCCGCCGCATCCGCTCATGCTGCAGCTGTTTTTCCACCGGGTCCTCCCAGGCGCGGCCCTGTGGGTCGGTGGCAGGGGGCTCCCAGCCGCTGTAAAACTCAGGGGTGTACGGGGTTCCCTGATCCGGGGGGGGTAGCTCCACCCTGTGACCAGGAGAGAGGAGTGGCTTATGGGTTCATTTGTGATTTCGAACTGCTCACCTTGCAGTGAACAGCCCAAGGGCTGCTCCCTCACCATTAACTACACAGTTTTTCTCCAGCCAACCTTTCCAAACACCGCCCCGCTGGCCGCCAAACCCCATTCCACCGTCAAAAACTCACCAGATTCCAAACCAGCAGCCTAGATACACAAAACACGCCCCCTTTCCCTAAGCTCCGCCCCAGGGGCTGCAAAGTGGCGGGCTCCGGCCCCTCTCCAAACCTCCCAATCCTAAATCTACTGCATTTAAATCCATTCTGGCCCACGGAACAAAGTAGATTTGCCCCAGAGGGTTTCAAAGGCTCAAACCTTTGAGGGGACAGACAGCCTCATTTTCCCCCCAACTGAGCGGCTGATGGGCTCAAACCACCAAGCTTTCAATCAGCAGCCCAATCACATCTTAGCATTAGACCTTTTCTCCAATCACATCTTGGCCTTTGCCCTTGGTCCCGTCCCTCCTCAATTTCATTGGCCACACCCTTCCGAGTCTTACCTCTTCTGTCCAAACGGGATGCCCCCAGCCTTCCCGCTTAGGCTGCCCCACCAATCACCAAGCCCCTTCCCTTAGCGCCCGCCCCTCACCCCGGCCGGGTCCAAGAGTCCCCGAGCGAGGTCCAGAGCGAGCTTTCACGCGGGTTAACGGTGTCCCGCAGCAGCGCCACGGCCTCCGATGTCAAGTGCGGCCGCCGCACCCCGCTTGCAAACTCGGGGCCGCCTGAAGTGTCCACGATCTGCAACGAGAGCATCAGTTGGAACGCGGTCAGGCCTCCTTGCAGTCGAATCCCCATCCCTCCTGCTGCAGGTGGAGACCGAGGACCAGCAGGCTGAGCCTCACCATCTGCAGGGGTCCGAACAGGAAGTGCAGCAGCTCTGGGGAGGAGGGGTCGGCTATGTTGCTGCGCAGCCGGGCCTGCGGGGCGGAGGAAGAGGGGGTGTGAGGACACAGGTCAGCTTCACTGGACGTGGCCCTCCTTCCGGCCATCCCGTCTCCGCCCCAGCACCCGGCGTGGACCGGCCCTCACCAGCAGACTGAAGGCGTACTTGATCTTTTGGAGCACGTCTGTGTACTCCGCCTCTAAGGGCGGCTTGGCCCGAAGTGTCAGCAGGCCCTCTGTGGGCGGGTGAGGGAAGACGAGACAGAGGGTCAGAGCGAGACCGCGAAGGAGAGCCCGACCTGGCAGGCGGTGCGAAGGGAGACCCCAGAGAGAAGGAGGGAATTGGAGGGCGGGTGGGAGAGCTGTATTCAGAGTCCCACTCTGGGGTGCCCTCACCCCCAGCCGCCCGGCGTCGGGTCCTGCGGCCTCGCTCTCGGTGTTCCAGGACTCGGGTGGCCTCCGCCGACTTCTGCAGCCTGGATACGAAGCTCTCCACGTCATCAAACACATGGTTCAGGATGTCCTGGGGGACGGACAAGGGTGTGTGTGTGTGGGGGCTGTTCCTCAGCCACACAGTCTCACTTCTGCCGAAGCCCTCGGCAAAGACACGACCCCCCGCCCGCCGCAGATACCTGGCCCGCCCCAGATTTCCATTCCCCATCACCCTCCCATAAGTCTGCGTCATCGACCAAGCCTCTCCCTGCCACCGACATCAGCCCTGCCTAGAGCCCCATCATTCCTCAGCACGGCCCCCAGAAGGGCTGATTAGCAGTTCCCACTGATACCACTTCTGGTGTGAATCAAGCACCTTCTCTAAACAGCTGATCTTGCCCCTAGACCGCTGGTCCCGCCCCAGGCCCTAGCTTTACTCCTGACAGCTGTGGCTAATCTTGCCCCTAGACCCACCTCTAGAAGGCTGACCGCGCCCCATGCTCTAGCCCCGCCTCCAGACAGCTGACATTGCCCACGCCCCAGCCCCGCCTCCAAGCGTGTGGCCACCTAGCGCCTCCTCCAGACATCTGGTCCTACTCCGACGCCTAGGCCCCACCTCTAGGTGTCTGACCCCGCCACCTCTAGATCGCTAGACCCCGGGCCCAGGCTGGCTTGCTCACCACATCCCGCTCCGCCTGCAGACTGGCCATGTCAGGCCCCCGGGGCCCCAAGTCCGGAGAGACAGGGTCAGCGCTGCTCAGGGTCGCCCGCGCCTCTTCCACCTCGGGGATGGACTCCGTCGGGGGTTGTCCCCGGCCCGCGCCTGGCTCCCCGGAGCTGATCACGGCACGGACAGAGGGGCGGCGCTGCAGCGGTGGGGTTTCGGCCACCAGGGAAGGCCGGCGCTGCAGCTCCTCCTGCGTGGCTCTGCAGGGCAAGAAGGGGAAAGGGTGGCTGAGAGGACGGAGGGGACGGAGCCACCCTGACTCACAGCGACCCTATGACTCACAGTACATCTGCCCTGGAGCGAGGTGGGATTCAAACTTCTGACCTTGGGTTTACCAGACCAATGCCTAACCCCCAGCCACCAGGGGTCCTCATTCTGACTCTTTAAAACACTACTATCGGTCAATTCCAACGCATAGCCACCCGATAGAGCAGGGTAAAAGTGCCCCTGTAGGTTTCTGAGACTAACTCTTTACCCACGTAGAAAGCCTCCCTTTTTTCTGCAGCGAGAGTTTAGTGGGTTTGAACCATGGACCTTGAGGTTAGGAGTCTATCACCTAACCACCAGGGCTTCTTCCCAGGAATAATAAAACAATACCGAGCCAAAATCACTACCACCTAGTCATGCGGACTCATAGGCATCCTACAGGCCAGGGGCAATGCCCCTGTGAGACAGTGACTTCATGGAAGTGGAAAACCTCGTCTTTCTCCCAAGAAGGGGCTGGTGGCTTTGAACTCCTGACCTTGTGGTTAGCAGTCCAATGCTTAACCCACAGCGCAACTAGGGCTCCTGTCTCCGGAGGAGTTCCAGAGTGGCAGAAATTCAGTGCTCAAAATGACTCGATTCAGGGCACTGTGACTCGAGGCGGTCAAATAGGGCTTAGTGGTCGTGAATTCGGGGGTGGGCACCGCTCTACAGAGAAACTGAGTGGAGGGAGGGCAAACTGAGGACCATTACTAGGAAGGATGGGGTCCCGGAGCTACAAGTCAGTACATTTCGCAGATGAGGACGGAGACGGAGGTCTGGGAACAGAAGCCAGCCTCTGCGTTCCTCCACCCATCGCCCCTCCTCCGCTCCGCCCCCCTGGCCCCCCAGCCAGGTACCTGAGCGCCGCTGCCCTGCGCTCCCCGCGGCCCGAGCGGTAGTTGTGCAGTGCCCCCTGGATGTCCTCTCGGATCAGCTCCGCCTGCCAATCATGCCGTCATGACACGTCCCTCCACGCGCCCCGCCAGCCCTTTCTCCCCAAATCTCAACCGTGCTAGAGCTCTGACCACACCCTCCACCAGGCCACGCCCTTCCATTCCCAGGGACGCACTTTCTCCAGCCACGCTCTTTTCGTGCCCGAACCCCGCCTTTTTCTCAGGCCACATCCCTTCCTTTTATAGGACCTCACCTTTTATCAGGCCCCGTCGCTCCCTCACTTGACCCTCCCTTTCTCCCAGAACCATCACCCTCCTTGCTCAGACCCTGCCTTTCTCTCAGGCCCTACCTCCCTAGACCACGCCCCACCCTGTACGCCCCGCCCCTTCTCTGGACTCCGCCCACAGGCACCAGCTCACCCCAAGGCCCAGGCTCTGGAAGAAGTGCACATCCGGCTGAGAGCGCTCAGGCTCCTGACACACCAGCAGCAGCTGCGAACGGCTCCGGCCCGGGGGCGTCACCGCATCGCAGCGCAGGATGGCGCCCAGCGCATAGGTCTCTAACTCCTCCTGCGGGTGGGGCGGGGCTAGACTGAGGCCAATTCCAACACTTCATGGCCAGGGCAGCGCCCAGTAGGGCCTGACGACCTCATGAGGTTAGAGAGAATCGCCCACCTTTCCCACTTGTTAAAACAATTATCCCCCAGAGGGAGGGAGGGCGAAAAATGATGAGCTGATATTAGGGGCTCAAGTCGAAAGCAAATGTTTTGGGCAACAAATGTACAAATGAATGTATGTATGGATTGTGATAAGAGTTGTATAAGCCCCCAATAAAATGATTAAGAAACACCCCACCAACAATTACCCCCATTTTACAGATGGAGCTGGGAAGGCTCAGAAAGGAGGGAGGGGTGGTGGGCTTACAGAAGAGGAATAAAGTGGGTGAAGACGTCCCCAGCCTGGTCAGCCCGGCCTCCCTCCTCCCCCAGACATCCGCCCCGCCCCCCAGCACCTTGGAGAGGGGGTCAAGCAATGTGACGTGGTCTGGCGACACTCGCAGCAGCATCTCCTGGGCCCACACGCGGCCCTGGCTGTCCATGACGGCCAGCTTCCGCGAAGCATCCTCCACCGTGTGCACACCGTCTTCTTCCCCCAGGCAGAAAGTCACCAGGTGCTGACACAGACCACAGACCACAGACTCAGCTGTGAGACCCAAGCCTGCCGCTGGAGGGCCTCCACCCTGGACCACCCTCCTGCCCTGTCCTGCGGTTTCTCTCCCTGGGGTCTACCTTCCTGGAGAACAGGGGAACCCCCCCAAAATTCTTCGCCATCGAGTCCATGCTGACCCGACAGGACAGAGTAGACCCACCCCAGTGGGTTTCCCAAACTGTCACTTTGTACGCAAGTGGAAAGCCCCGTCTTTCTCCCACAGGGCGGCTGGTGATTTTGAACTGCTGACCTTGAAGTTAGCAGCCCCGTGCATAATCACGAGGGCACCAGGGCTCTGGGGACAGGGAAGGGGTCTGATTTCAATCTAGCTACAACCAACCTGCAGTGGGTTCAGACTCATGGCGAACCTGTGTGTAGAACTGTGTTCCACGGGGTTTTCAATGGCTGTGTTTTTTTTGATGTGTGTGTGTGTGTGTATGTGTAAATCTCCAGGTCTTTCTTCCACGGGCCTGTGGGTGGACTTGAACTCCCAGGCTTTATGTTAGAAGCCAAATGTGTTACCTGTTCGAACACTGTCCCTTCGAGACTCCTGGTTTACATCTAGTCCTCTCTAAGCAGGGAATGATTGAGAGAGTTCGGGAGCTAAGCAATAAATGGGCGATTCAACCCAAGCAGCTCTGCAGAAGGACTTGGCCTTCCACTCCCAGAAAACGGCTGTGAGGGCCCTTGGGATGGCTCTGACTCATAGCGACCTTGTGTGCAACACACTGCCCTGTCTTGGGCCGGCCTCACAACCCATTGTGGCTGTGAGGGCCCTTGGGATGGCTCTGACTCATAGCGACCTTGTGTGCAACATACTGCCCTGTCTTGGGCCGGCCTCACAACCCATTGTGGCGATGTGGGAGCCCGCTGTTGTAGCCATGGCGTCAGTCCTGCTCAGAGAGGGCCGTCCTCTGTTTCTCTGACCCTCCATTTTACAAAGCCTGGGGTCTGTCCTCCCGAGACCACTGCTGAGGACGCCGCAGGGAGCAGGTCTAAGGCATGAC